AAGAAGAAGAAGAAGAAGAAGAAGAAGAAGAAGAAGAAGAAGAAGAAGAAGAAGAAGAAGAAGAAGAAGAAGAAGAAGAAGAAGGCTGGCTCTTCTCACAAGAGTCACAATAGGGAATTGAACTCCCAACCTCTGGCTCCTCAGCCAAATACGTACACCATTGAGCTATTCAGCCAGCTATGTCTACCCTTAGTATAATAATTTGTGGGAAATTGTAACTTGGCCAGGGCCACACAGGCTGGCATTTTGGGGATTATTGAACAACTCCCAACCTCTGGCTATACAACCACTGAGCTACCCAGCAGTTTTCTTCTGGCTATTCTGCGCAGAAAGATGGAAGCTCAGTCTTTTGGATTGCAACTTTCAGAATTACCCAGCCAACATTGGGAAATTTTCCAACACACCGATTCTGTGTATGAAAATTCCTGCTACATATTTCTTGGGTCCCTCCCCTCAGCACTTTGGAAGTCCACTTTGGAACAAAAATTCCAGGGTCTCCTATTGTTAAATTTGTTAAATTAAATTGTTTAAAGACTGCGGATAAGCCATTTTCCTGCAAATCAACTGATGGAATGACTTCACAGCATTTCTATGAAAGGGGATGATTTGCTTGTGTGTGGAGAAAAGAAATGACTGGGAAGAAGAGTAGCTGCTATGTATAAAATATGCACATCAAAAACACAGTGGTTAACCAGTGTTCATATTAAGAGATTCTTTGAAGAACTACAAGTGAATTGAAGCTTTACTTGTAAGCATAATTAGGGCTATGATGATGATTACTTCACTTCAGGGGAAACAATATGAAATATAGGTTAGCTCTGAGATCAAAGGAAAGAACAAGAAGGGGTAAAAAGGAGGACAGTGCTATCCTGCCTTGATTCACATTATTGAACATAACTGAAGAATACGTGTTCCTCATTTGTTGATACAGAATGATCCAATTGCCCGCATTTTTAGATTCCTCTTGGATTCACATTATTGAACATAACTGAAGAATATGTGTTCCTCATTTGTTGATACAGAATGTCAGGGGAGTGATTATGGGGATGAGGGGGATGGTTAACAAGGGCTGCCTTCATCATGTGTGTGCTTCCTGAGAGGCATGTCATCCAGCAGGTACATTCATGCCTCTATAGCCCTCTCTTTGCAATAAGTCTGTCAAGATGCAAGAGTCTATCAGCTCTGATCCTCATAGGTTGCCACCTCCAGTATGCAGTAAATCATGGGTTCCTCACCTTGGGTAACCCAGGTGCTCTTGGATTGCAACTCCCAGAAACCCCTGCTAGAACCACTGGTGTTGAAGGCTTCTGGAAATTGCCGTCCAAGAACACCTGAGTCACCCAAGGTTGCAGCAAACTATGAAAAGCTTCCCCTGAAGGTCATCTTCAGTTCCATGACTCACCCTCATCATACTGTCAAAAGGACTCATTAGAAAGGACAACACTGATTTCATTTAATGAATGGTCTTCTAGTAAAACGTTACCAACTCAACTGGCTTCATTCTAATGCTGTGTGATCAACCATATTCTTGAACAAAGAACCTTTAGATCTTGTGGGCCTTCCATTCCATCCCAGGCTTGCCAACAGAAACGCTGCACCACCCTGTGAATTGTGCAAAGCAGTTTGCAAGTGATTGGCGTCTTAAAGGCCAGAAATTCTGTTTATTGAAAAATTATCCTCCCTTTGTATTTTACATGCCGATCATTTCAAAAGTAGAAACCTTGTCAAACCAGAACTCCAAAACAATTAGAGGGCATTTTTTGTGTCACAAATGTGTCATCTGTCCATGGGACAAGGCACGCAATGTGAAAAATTGCACAGCGAAAAAATGAAGAAGCCCCCCCAAAGAGTCTAAAAGATATAAATCTCATCAGTGCAGTGGTGCAATTAGGTTAATAGTCTTATGGGCTGCTCTTAAGATCTGGGGGTGGGAGGCAAGGAGGTAGAGAAAATGTCACCCTCCAGATGTTGCTGGGAGTGTAATTTCCACCAGCCTTAGCCAGCACAGTTAACAGTGACATATGATGGAAGCTATAGCACAA